GGGGGAACATTTTTCTGCCCACAAATACGAGGTCCCCTGCGGGATGTGGGATGTTTATAGCGCACTTGAATCAGGAAAACAAAGAAATGTCAGAACCCAAAAAAATTTCTGCAGCGGCAAATACTCCCCTGGCCTTCAATCTCCTAGATAAAGCGCGCCTCCCCCTCTCTTCTCCATTTCGGCTCTCAAATACGTCTCTCGCTGGGGAGCCTCAACGTACAATGTGCGCTGCTAGGAAGAAAGCGAGAGTTGACAGAGACATGGGGCATTACATCTGTCTTACGGCGAAGCCGGCGAAAGAGATGTTGCAGATGTGGCATTCGCGCCAGGACCCTACTTCACTCAGCGTGGCAAATCCTGTGCCGTGATTGACTAGCTAGGAAGATTCAGAAAGTGCTTGCACGTAGCCGTAACGTGGACCTTACGCCCCAAATTCTTATAGAAGGAAACGGCAGCCTCCAGAAATTATTCTTTTCAGATCGGGTCGTTCCTCGGTGCATCTGTGATGTTTCCTCTAGTCAATATAGTTTCCATCTTCAATTCAGCTCCACGATGTCGATAACTCTTGAAGGATGAGATCTTTTGTTACCTACTCATGTTATAGGTTGAATTTCCTTGTTAATTTCTTGCTGATCTATTTAAGAATCTAGTTCTACATTATTGTAAGTCACTTTATGTCGAACCTCTGATTAGAACGTGTAGTAGCGAGGCGCGGCGCTTTGTTGAAGGTCATTCCACGGTATTCGAGTGGGCGGAGACTCGTAATCATTGTGCCGCCTCCTCACGGTCCTTGATCTAAAATGGCCAACGAGAGTAGCAGGCCAGAAGGGAGCACAATGATCGCGATTGATTATGAGATGCATGTTCGAGGAACGAGGTAGTGCATGATTACGAAGTTATGAATTAGTGCTGCAGGCCAGACCAAGGCGGTCCGTGCATGGCGAACACAGTTCTTTATCTCTTGCTAGCCTCTGCTGCCAGGCTACCAGGGTACTTCATCGTTTAGTCTTGTTTCGCTGCGCGATGACAGGGGCGTGTCAAGTAGAGAAAGGCTAATTTGGCGCGCCATCAGCTCTCCCTCCAGCAGTTGTCACTTACCCACTTTAACATTTGGTGGAGAACGGCCGCGCCAAAACCATCCGCTTACACTCTCCCCAGCGAACAAGACTGTAATTCGGATCTCCTGGCCCACACCTAAACGGCCGTTGTCATAGCGGTGCGACCTCAAACAGTGATAGGTCCATGTTTACCGTTGTCCCCTAACCAATTTTTAATCCTGTTCAACTCACAATATCTCAGAGCTGTGCTCAAAACTAGGGTCTTTTTTGGGTGCAGCCTACTTTGTGCCATATCATGATAGATTTGATGGGATCTTTGTAATGGTTAGTGTGCCATCATCTCACTGAACATCGATGCTTTCGTGAACATCAGGTTTTCTTGTCATTATCGTCAAGTCAATTTCTCATTTTAATAATTGTTGCACGAAAATGTACATAGATATTTATTAAATAGATGATATGGATGTGTTGGATCTGTGAAATCATACTGGTAACCGACTGGAGTGATTGCTGCTGGTCGTCATACTTCGTAGCTGCGATGAGTTTTCGAACGACTGAAACAGTTAACATTTGGTTTCTTCATCGTTTGGAAGGCATGGACGCAAAAGTTCAGGCCAAGGGAGCCAGGGAAATCGTCCATATCAAAATGTGACAAGGGGTGTTCCCGCAAACTTATCTGACACTTATTTGGGCTCTTACCGCTCTCCCGGCCACGCCTCTGGGTGCCCCTAGTTAGGGACCGTGTATCGTTTGATGCAATTATGTTGCCATAAATGCCCCATTATACGTTATGCGATCTTTTTCCAAGTAGGGCAACTCGTCCGGATTACTGAACTAGAGAATTTTCTTAAATGGACGCTGGTATGGCTCGAATACGCGGTTCAATAAGTCAAAAGACTGATGACGTGTCACTGACGTCACGAGCATGGTGCTACTATGTACTGGAACATCATTTTCAATAAATA